CCTCATCCAGGTGTTTTCCTGCCGGCAGGGCAGGAGGAGTTGGTGTCTCTGGCAGAAAGCTCTCCAGGAACCTTCTCCTATCTGCACTTTCCCAGCCCTGGTGTTTTCCCAGGGCTGGGCACAACTCTTGCCGTCCCTTGAGCAGGAGACCGCAGCCATGAACGGGTGAACCTGCCTGGTGCTGGGAACGGAGCTGGCCCTGCCAAGCTTCTACCACCAGCACAAAGCTGGAGCTCTCTTTACCCTGCTGCTTCTGAAGCTCCTGACCTGGTCCTGCCCTGGTGTCCTTGAGCTGTGCTCGCTCAGCCGCAGGCTGTCTTCTGCTGGTGGCTTATCAGCAGGGAGAAGGCAGGTTTGGGGAGATGTTGGTAGATTCTGCCCTACGTGAGCTTGTGAGGATGAAACTCTCACGTGGGTCTGGGCAAAACAGAGCAGCAGAGTCGTATGTTTTGAAAATAACGTGGGAAAGTGCAACCCTGACCTTGAAAGAGGAAGATGCTGATACCTCTGGCCAACACCAGGGCACGGTGATGGTCTTGAACTTCTCTGGACCTTTCTTCGTTCAACAACTGGAAGATGTACCTGGGTGGCTCTTTGCTTTCTGGTAGAGGCAGCCCACTAAAACGGACAAGCCCCAGCTGCTGCGGGCTTTCACGCACATAAAGCGGCCCTTTGCCCAAACTGGTGCCTGTTGAGCTAAACCAGCTCAGTGGTGGTGTTGAAGCAACTGTCATAACTAAGACTCGTCTCTTCTGTGCGACCTAGTGGCTCTGCTTGGCTGTCTGTCCTTGAGCAGCAGCAAAATGCTTTCCATGAAGCCGGGGAACCGGGCTGGTGGGGCAGATCCACCCGGCTGCTGGTGTCCGGGTGGCTCGGCAGTGGCCAGCAGAGAAGCATTTGGGTCAGACACAGATACCACCAGAGCTGGATGTCATCCATCCGTTGATGAAGGTTGGCAGTCCTCTCTAGGGATGCTCCGTGGTAGGCATCAGGTGTGGGTTGGGGGACCTGGAGAGCTTCTCCCTATATGCCTGATGGTCGGGATGTGCTAAATCAGGCCTCTGAGGTGGCGGGTGTTGTGTCATGGGCTGATGTAAAAGAGGCCATGGATCTTCCGTAGTAGCAGATGGAGAAGTAGGAACAGGGTGTGGTACTTTTGTAGACTTAGAAACTAGACTGAAGGCAAACTGAGAACCCAGTGCTGGTAGAAAAAGTAGTCTCCCAGCTCTCAAATGCAGAAGACGACTCATTAGGGAAACTTCAGAGCCCACCTTACCTTGTCCGTGTGGAGTGGGGTTTTTGCAAGCTTGAAGAGCTCGTGCAGAAGCAGAGGATCTGAATGAATGAGACCTGCACAAGCGTCCCTAGCGTAGGTCACTGGTGGTAGCAGCAGCCCTCTCGTTGGCTTGGTTGCCAGCTGGAAGAGGTCACTGTGGTGTGGTAGCACTCTTGTTGGCTTGACCACCAGCTGGACATCCATCTGGAGGACCCTGTGCGTGTCTGAGTGTGATGTTTGGCGTGGGTCTCTCTGCTCCCCACTGTCCATCACTAGCAAACATAGCTCCTGCCTATAGCTTCTAATCCAAGCTGGGAGCAGTCCCAGCTTTCCCCTCCAGGAAAACATTCTCACCGTCGGACGACGCTGAGGTTTTATGTCCCCAAAGACTTGGGCCCACCTCAAAGAGGAGCTGCCTTAGCACCGCGTTGCTCCTTCACGAGCCGTGGGAGCGGCTGACGTTCCCGTGCCGAAGAAAGCGCCAAGGAGCCCGTCGCTTCGGAGTCGCTTCTGACAGCCCTCTGTGTACTGCCCGTCAAAGACCCGTTCTGTTCCCTGCCAGGACGTTAAAGAATAGCGCTCGCTGTCCGATCCTTGCTTGGAATAACTCGTACTTGCTTCTCCGCCTCCGGAATGAGGGATGGATGTTTGGCGACACCAGCGTCCGCAGCGCTTGCCTGCGGCGGGAATGCAGAAACAGCTCTGCCTTCTCCTGCGGTGGGCTGCTTGACGTACAAGCTCTCAGGTGGGCTTCCACCTCGTCCCCAAGCCTGTTCCCAGGAGCTGGGATGGTCCCCCCCAGCGAAGCTGGCTGCCTACTGCTCCCGACGCCTGTAGTGGAAGGACTGGGAGGCTTGGCCCGTGGGCTGGCACATCCCAGTGACCTGCTGGCTGCTCCCCTTCTGCTCAAAATCAGGGTCGAAAGTGGCTCTGAAGTTTCTCGTGACGCTCGGTGTCCTCCACGGCTCACAGCCTTGCCGGCTGAGATTGTCACGGTCAAGGGTGGGCGGAAGGGAAGCGGTCCGTGATGTCCTCTGGCATCACGCAGTAGTGACCCTGCGTGGCAGTGGGGTAAGGATTCCTCGGTGTAAATGACCTCTTGTTGATGTGCTTTTAATTCTCTTCCAGAGCAAGCCCCCGGCACCGAAAAGGGAATCTCCTCTCCCTGTGAGCAGCACCTCCAAAGAGAACGGGGTTTGTGTAGAGCAAGATGATCAGGACTTATTTGCAGGTGAGTCTGTGTCTACTGGGTGTTTGCTGGGGCTTTCTGGGCTCTGAGCCTGGAGTGACCTGCTTTTGAGCATGACGTGGATGTTTCTGGACTATCACAGGTCTTTATCTCAAACTCGTGTTGCAGTCTGCTCTGGAAGCACTAAGCTCTGGAGGTGTTTTTGGGAAGGTCGGGGTAGCCTCCTGCAGGTCTCTCGCATAATCACGCGGCAGGATTAGCTGTTCGGAAGCTGAAGAGGATTAAAACGGAATTTGCTTTAGTTTTGTTGCCTTAAACTGTAAGGTGGTGAGTGTCTTCTCAGAGCTAAAAGACTTTTGTTCTCTGCCTTCTCCTCCCTCCATGGAAGTGGAGCAAGTGTCTCTAGTAGAGACGTGGCTGTTCCCACGGAACAGGAAACGTAACACCCCTCAGCAGGGGAAAACGAGGAGGGTCAGCCCTTCCCCAGCCCTGGCATGGTGGGACACCTCTGGCAGAGGCATCTGAGAGTTATTTCTGGAGCTGCTTGAGAACAGATGGAAGTTTTTACTTCCTCCGAGTGGAGAAGCGTACTGGGAAGGAGCCAGGCTGGCTTATGTGCCGTGTAAAAACCCAACTGGGCTTTAGCTGTTCTGGTGTGCAGCTCCTCTAGCACACAGCAAGGAGGTGATGCCTGACTCCTCCTAGAATAAGTTGTTCATTGGATTAACTTAATGTTCTCCGGCAGGATTGATCCAATGCTCTTACCGCAGCGAAGATGCGTTAAGTCTCGCTCTTCCCAATGCTTACAGCTGTCCTCCCTATGGATTTTTTTTCTTTTTTTTGCTAATTAAGACTATTGTTACTCCCTAGATCCCACGAACCTCTCGGATAATATTGAAATTACCTTTCTAGACACTCGAAGCAGAGAGGCTGACCCTTGCAAACTTCTCTTGACAGATGCCACCGTTGAGTTGTCTCTAGACAGCACGCAGAACAACCAGAAGAAGGAACTGGCCAAAGCATCCAATCCTGTCCCCTCCTTAGAAGTAGCTGAAAGCTCCTCTAGGAACCCTCCAAAGAGCTATGAGGAGGTGAGAATTGCTCTGAGCTTTCCCACTTGCCCTGCTGGTTTCAGGCTGTCATTGGCAGGAACCTGTCTGGATGCTTAGTTGTAAACACGCATCTCGAACGATGCAATTAGTGTAATTGCCCTGTGGGATGCCCTGGCTTGTATCTCCGGCCATGGGGCTGGGACTGGTGCTGCTGAAGTGGGCTTCAGGTCAGCCTGACGGCATTCTTGCACACGTGGTGGTGCAGACTGCTTCCAAAGCTGGAAGAGCGAGCGGCTGACCTGGGCCCGAGGGTCTGAGCTCTGACTCGGAGCTCCACGCTGTATTACAGCAGATGGGGCAGGCGATGCAGCTGCTCTTCTCCGTGTTTTTAATAGCAGCAGTCTCCTGGGTGACATGAGAGCGCAGGGTCCTTCAGTGGAACTTGTAGTCTGGCTGCCAAGTATAGGTGATACTTGGCCTAAATCTGGGTTTTCTCCTGTAGAGAGACTGGAACTATTTTGGAGACAAGGAAGGTGCTCCTGTCGTGCCCCAAGCACCCCTGAGCTCATGCTCCTGACCCAGCAATGCCATCAGGAGTGGTGTCTCAGGGCGTCTTCCGACTGGCTTAAGCGCAGGAGCAATGCAGACCTGGGCCAGGATGCTGAGCTGGTCAGCAAAGTGATAAGCTGTCACCTTCGGGTCCGTAGACCAAAGGTTTTTTGAGGCCAGTCTCAGCTCTGCTTCGCCCAGTCCTGGCAAAAAGACAAAAAGACTTTTTGTGACAAAAAGACTCGTTCAGACTGGGTCTGCCTGTCGCTGTCCTGGCTCTCCATCCCCGTGTGCCTACACAGTGCAACTTACTTCTACGTAGGTTCAGTATCCTACGAGAACTGAAATCATGATGTAAAAAAGACAAATCTAGTTTGGGATCCTTGGAACATCTAGCCTGGATGCAAGTGAGGAGCTCAAGGGCTTTATAGAATGGCCTTGGCCAGGCTGGAGTGCCAAAGGTGCCGTGGCAGTGTGACGAGCTCACCATCACGTAGGGGACTTCGTGGTTTGGGGTGGATTGAAGCCTGGATTTCTAGTTTTAACTTGCTGTCCTCATGGTCTTACTCCAAACAGCTGGAAGAAGAAGAACAGGAGGACAAATTTGAGCTGACTGTAGGAGTGAGCGACCCCGAGAAAGTCGGTGAGTTGATACCCTGTCCTGCTGTGCGGTGAAGCACGGTGAGACAGGGCAGGCTTGGCAGCGGGACCCCACGCAGCCGTCGCCTCCACGTGCCACAGCTCCAGCTTTCCAGCTGTCTCTGCAAGCGCAGGTTTGATCCCGGAGTAACTTCTCCAAGACTTCTTCCAACATCTGGAAGAAATGAAGCTACTCAAAGCAAAATGCTTAGGTTGCAAACGAGCGAGGCAGGAGCAGGTTCTGGAAACCCAGGGACCTCAAAGGCAGGGAGCCAGGAGCATGTTTTTTGGTTTGTTGTTTTTTTTTTGGGGGGGGGGAAGGTCAAACGTGATGCAGTAGCAGACCTTGGCGTCTGGAGCTGCGATGACCAACTTGACTTGACCTCCAGGCAGCACTGTCCTGTGTGCAGCTGGAAAGGGGGAGGCAAAACTGCCTTAACCTAAAACTAAGAGCATTAATCCGTGCTCTGGCACTGCCCTGAGCTGGGCTTGCCAGGAAGGCAGCTCTGGCTTCAAACCAAGAAGCAGGAGGGTTTCTCTCTGATGAAAGTGGAGTTCAGAGGATCTTGGCCAGCCATGTGGTAGTCCATGGGGTGCTGAGAACCCCAAATAACGTCTGAGCCAAGCTGGCGGAGCAGCCTCGCGCGTGGCACCTTGTTCTCGCTCCGTGGCTCGTGATTTCTGGAGCTGGGAGGCGCTGACTTCGGAACCAGAGGTGTATTAGGGGTGGCATCGGGCTCCAGCAGATGCCCTTCAGTCGAACCACCGGGTACAGCCCTCCCTTTGGCCGAACAGAGAGATTCCTGTTGTCAGCTGGAGAAAGCTGCCCGCCGCGTCTCTGCCCCGCGCCCTCTGAACCACCCGCTTCACGCGCCGCACAGCCGCCCGATTGTTGGGCACCCAGCAGATGCGCGGCGCCGGCCCGGGCGCTGCCGGCGGAACAAGCGCCCGATTGTCGGCGCTGGCTGCTCCAGGAAGCAGCGGGAGGGCTGAGCAGTCGGGTCGGGAAATGCCTAGCGGGCAGCGGTCCAGCATCCCACGGCAAGATGCCCAGTTCGGGGCTCCGTCGGATGAAAGGTCGGAATTGCTTCCGGAGCCGCGTGCTCTGCGTTCAGGTGACGGCGGAAGGGCCCGATCCCGTGATGCTAATGCCTCGTTTCCCTTCTCCGCAGGGGATGGCATGAACGCCTACGTAGCCTACAAAGTCTCGACGCAGGTATGCCTGAACTCCTCGCTCCGGAGGTGGGGTGGCGTGATTTTTCCACGCTTGAGGACCGTTGGACTTGTCCTTTCTTAGCCAAGCCAGTGGGTGACCTAAATAGACAGGAGGTCTGAATGCCTTCTTACATGGATTCAGGAGTTATGACCCACTCCTGCTGGTCAAAGGATGAGCCTAGCTGATAGGTTTGGAACCTGTTTGAATGGAGACTGTCTCTCTTTCTTCTCTGGTCACCTCTTCGCAGTCCTGGCTGATACTGGAGTTGGGGTGAGCAGCAGGAACAACATCTGTTAGGGAGAGCCCCAGACGCTGGGGCTGTTGCTAATGGTTCTGCGCCGACGGTGGTATCGAATTAAGCTGACCTGGCCTCTGCTCTCACTGAAGAGCTGCTGCTGGAGCTGGTTTCGTGTCAGGACCTGCTCTTGGTCACAAGAAACTGAGCTTTCTGCGGCTGCTGCCCTACTTGGAGCTTTGGTAGCTCTGCAAAAAGTTGTTCCTAGTTGTACGGTGGCTGTTGGGCTACGGGCATCCTGTGGTCTGAAGCCGATGGTGTGCGAAGGGGGCTAGGGGGCTTGTTAGCTTCCAGTCCTCTAGTCCTCTGCAAGCACTGTCAAAAGCCACTGATGGCCCCCGTAGGCTTAAAGTGTGACCTGACAGCAGTCCCTGTTCCCATGGGGAGTAGGGATGATGGGATTAGGCGATGGGCAGAGCTTACCAAGCAGCCTGCGGCCGCAGGAACAGCTGCTCTGTTATTTAGTGGCATTAATACTTCTGCTTGGTCCAAGGAGAACTGTTAGGAGGTCAGCTGCTGGAAACCTAGGCTGAAGCTTGCTCTGTTCATTCCTCACGTCTTGCAGAGCTCAAGCTGTCCTACTTCATCCCCAAAGCGACAGCAGATAGTGCTAGCAGGGCTGTGTGTGCTGGAGCAACCTTCCTTGTGTGAGTCTGATCCGAGTCTCGTGTCTCCCCCAGACGAGCATGCCAATGTTCAGGAGCAAGCAGTTTTCCGTGAAAAGGAGGTTCAGCGACTTTCTGGGACTCTATGAGAAGTTGTCGGAGAAGCACGCCCAAAACGGGTTCATCGTTCCTCCGCCGCCTGAGAAGAGTCTCATAGGTGAGTGGTGGAGGTGCAGAGCACTGGAGGTGGTCCTTCTCATGGTGAGCTTCGTGCCCGAAGGACGCACCTGCCTGCAGTCTCAAAGCTGAGGGAGGCTGCAGAGACAACCATGGGAAGCAGGTGTGGAAAACAATCTGGGTTCTGTGGCACAGATGAAATTCTGCTGGTTCCATACATGGAACTGTGGGCTCAAAGCCTTGTGGGAGTTTGTGGACGCCCCTGTATCTACTCGACGTAGAGTAAAACCTTGTCCTCTGCGCTGTCGCTGGATTGCTGTTCACTTGAGCCCACACCTGTAACCCTTCCAGTCTTGCCTGGTGTTGCTTTGCCTCTTTTCTGATGTCGACTTCTTGTAGACGTTAGCGATAACCAGATATTAAATTTCCAAGTAGCTCTTGCCTGATCCAAGGTCTAATTCCTGTTGTAAAACACGGCTCCTGGCCTGTCACCCTTGAGATCGAGGTTCCTTGCGGTCTACTCTGTGCGTTGAGTTTGAAGCAGCTCATTAACTGCGTGTCCCTTCTGCGCTAGGAATGACCAAAGTGAAAGTCGGGAAGGAAGACTCCTCTTCTGCAGAGTTCCTAGAAAAAAGACGGGCTGCTCTAGAGAGGTACAGACCCCACCAGCTGTCCCCTCGTGCCTCTGAAAGGTCAGACTGGCCGCGCTCTCCTCCCGGCACGAGAAAAGCCGCCTGCTGCTGGGTTTGCAGCAAAGCTGGAGGCTGCCGAAGAGTCGCAGCTGCAGAGCTTTGACGCTGTAAAACCATCTCCTGCTTCACAAGCCCCTGCTGGTGTTTGGTTCCAGTTTGGCCAAACTCCACTGACAAGGCAGGGAGGAAACTGAGCTGTCTCAGGAGCCCCAAAATACGGATGTTAAGTAGCGGTACAAACAGTGCAGATCAGGTGAGAAACAACTCCGTCTCTGTCGGACGTGCAGCCTGGCTATCCAGCCACAGGTGGTCTTTGCTCCACCACCTGTTGTAGCTGGTGCTGGGATGCTGATCCCGCTCCAGCTTCAGCCTCTGAAAGATCATAGAATCATGGAATGGTTTGGGTTGGAAGGGACCTCCAAGATCATCTCGTTCCAACCCCCCTGCCATGAGCAGGGACGCCTTCTCCTACACCAGGTTGCTCAAAGTCTCATCCAACCTGGCCTTGGACGCCTCCAGGGATGGGGGGATCTTGTTAAAAGCGTCATCGTTAAAGATGTAACGCTAAAGCTCCATCACTTGGTGTATCGAGGAACTTTCTTGCTGTAGTGAGTGTTAATCAAAGGTCTGGCAGGTCTGGTCTTGCAGGCCAGTCCACGAGGAGATAGGACTCGTGGTGGGTGGATGAGAACAACTTGTTGGACCTGACTTCTAGTTACCGAACTGCCGTTTCAGGGTCAACGACGAGTGCGTCGCAGCTCACCGAGGTGCCTCGGAGGCAGGTTCCCTACAACCGAGGTAACTCGTGGCGCGTTCCTCTCCGCAGGTACCTACGGAGGGTGGTCAGCCATCCGACAATGCTGCAGGACCCCGACGTCAGGGAGTTCTTGGAAAAGGAGGAGGTCAGTAGCGTGGAGTAACGTAACTACAAGTTCCTTGGAGGTACAGAGGGAAACAGTACGCGAGGAGTTAATGAGACATCACGCTTCAGAGAAGCAGCAGAAGCCATAAGAGCTCTTAACGGTTGATGACGGGAACAGGACTCTCTTCTGTGTGCCAGTGCTTGTCTGAGCACCGTACACTCGTCAAGCTCGGCCAGAGCTCGTTATGACATCATGGTGGAGGCACGCGTTGAGAGCACGGGCAGTCTTTGTTCTCTGAAGTCCATGATAGGAGCATAGGTCCCTGTTTGGAGGTGAGAGGGGTCCTGTGCTGCCTTGGCCTGATGCTCAAGGGAGCGCTGACTCTGCACCATAGCATGTGGCTGATGTGGTTCCTGCTCCTCCAAGGAGAACGTGACCGTGCCCAACTGCGCACCTGACTTGGAGAAGTCAGTCTTAAAGAGACTGAGCCCTGGAGAAACTCAAGCCTGAGTGATTCCAGCACTAATGCTGTGCTGGAGGGTTCTGGTGTAGGAGCAGACATCCTGGAGACACCTCCCTTAGCTGAGCTGATGCAGCTTTGTCTGGAAAATAGTTGTGGCTGGCGTGGAGTATTCCCCAGCATCAAGGCATGGCTCTACTCTAGGGTTCCCCACCGCTCCTGGTTTTTGGAGAGACCCTCCAAAGCGCTTCTACGAGCCTGCGTGCCCTGTGGCACCTCGGGCATCCCTCAGTTCAGGGATTCAAGTAGGGTGGCTGGTTCTTGCAGATCTGGGTTACCTTGGCCCAGCAGAACAGGTGGACCCCAGATCTAGTGAAGGGTTTAGGAACTCCTTGTTTGTTTGAAACCCTCTCCAGTCCCGTTATTTGAAGTACTGTACAGGTCCATTTCTTTCTAGCTACCAAGAGCAGTAGGCACCCAGACCCTGAGCGGAGCAGGAATACTGAAGATGTTCAACAAAGCGACGGATGCTGTCAGTAAAATGACCATCAAGATGAACGAATCAGACATAGTAAGTGTTTGGACACCTCTGGGTTGTCCTCACTCCGAAGCTCCTTGTTCTGCCCAGCTCAAGCTTTGGGCACAAGGTGGGAGGAAAGCCCCCTAGCGATGCTGGCTGTGGGGCATCAGCTCTGGGTTTACTCGTTTTCAGTGGTTCGAGGAGAAGCTGCAGGAGGTGGAGTGCGAGGACCAGCGGCTACGGAAGTTGCACGCTGTCGTCGAGACGCTGGTGAACCACCGGAAAGGTAATGAGCTTGGTACCTCTTGCTCTGTAGCTTGACCCCGTAACACTTGAGCCTTGCGCGGTGCCTGGCCGGAGATCACCGGCACGCAGGTGTCCCAGGAGGCACTTCTGAGAAGATGACAGCCCTTCCTACAGAGGGCTCTCGGGAAGTCCCTCATCATCACGGGAGGCAGAAGTAAAAGGGTAATCCCACCTCTTCTGTCCGGCCCGACGAGTTTAGGATGAGGATGTTGAAGTCAACCAGCGTCCTGCTGGGTGAAGGCTGCCGTAGCAAACCTCAGCTGATCTTCCTACTAATTCCAAGCTGTCCTCTGGCAGGGAGCAGGGATGGTGGGTTTTTTTTTTCTTCCTCTGCATGTTTTGGCTGATTTCTGCAAACCTCTGCCTGTCCTCCAACTCTACTGCTCCCCTTCTCCTCCCTGGCTGGAGTTGCCTAGCCCTCCTCCCACCGTGTTGCAGAAGCTTCCAGCTCTGACCGAGGCGGTGCTGGTTCTTCCAGCTGATGTCTCCTGGGGCTACAGAAGAGCAGCTCCTTGAGCTCATCTCTAGGCTTGGGCTTGACTTGCAGAGCGCCCGGTGTAGCGAGGTCCATCGGTTGACTCTCCTTGTTCCGTTCACTAGAGCTAGCATTGAACACAGCCCAGTTTGCAAAGAGCCTGGCCATGCTGGGGAGCTCGGAGGACAACACGGCCCTGTCCCGGGCGCTGTCCCAGCTGGCTGAGGTGGAAGAGAAGATTGAACAGCTGCACCAGGAACAGGCTAACAATGACTTCTTCCTCCTGGCCGAGCTCCTGGGAGACTACATCCGCCTCCTCTCCGTTGTAAGGGTAAGCGCTCCTCTAGGGCAACGCTGCTGGTCCTGGCACCCGTTTTAGGCTTAGGTGTGCCAGGAGGCAGCTGGTCTTCTCAGTTCAAGCACAGAGCATGATGTGCCCCTGCTCTCTCCAGGCAGAGAGCAAAACTTGCTGCTTGTCCAGTTGTGCACCTGTTGGAATGGTTGGATTGGAAAAGTGGGGTAGGTGAGGCCTGGCTGTGCAGCTGTTCTCCAAGGGGGTCGTGGAGCAAGTTGGTGGCTCGCAGGTGGCCTCAACCCTTCCAGAGATGAAGGCCCCAGCTGCTGCAGAGGCTGTGAGCTGCCAAACAGTGATCTGGGTGTTGCAAATAGATCTGCCAAGTGCAGATCTTACTGGGAAAGAGCGTGGGTCTCCGAGACCAGGCAGCAAGGAGGTGCACAGACCTCCTTACTGGAGGCTGAAAGAAACCAGTCCCAAGTGAGCTGTGAGCCTGGCAGGCTGACTTGTGCCTGCCCCAAACTTGTCCTGTTTCTGGAGGCTACAGCGGCCAGAACGCAGCCTAGTGAGTAGGCACAAGTGTCCTTGGCCTGCCAGTCTGCACTGGGAGGTGTGGTGGGTGCTGCAGAGCAGGACCAAGATCTCCGATAGTGCTGGAGGTAATAAGACTGATCTGGGATGTTCTGGTAAGGAGCCCTAATGTTGGCCTCAGACTTTACCTGTCTCTTGGCTGCTCTGTCCTTCTGACCAGGCTATCGAACACCTCTCTTCTGCTTTTCTAGCTCTTCCCCATGACCTGGCTAGATGTGTTCAGAAGTCTAATGGGTCTTCCTTGCTCGGGCTGGTGATTTGCAGACCTCCTAAAATCATCTGGCCTCCTGGCAGATGTCTGCAAGCTGCTGGTGGGGCACGCTGTGCAGTCAACGGGAGCTGTGAGCACTTAGCTCTGCAGGAGCTCATGGTGGAGATCCAGTGTGGGACAGGCAAGGTTTAGCTCCACGTACTGGTTGCTCTCGAGGGCAGGACTGAAATGGGCAGGCAGCAGCGCTTGGGGATGGGCTAGATGTATGGAGGAAGATCTCAAAGCTGCTCCTGAAGCATGGGTTGATTGATGTTGCACCTGGGCTCCTTCACTAGTAGAGCAAGTCCATGTTCTGGCTGAGCTTTGGTGACACCGAGATGGGTCCAGGACCTGACTGATGAAGCAGCTCTGCCGTTAGCTGATGTCCCCCTTGCCAAAGGTGTGGTTGTCACTGTCAACAGAGCTCCTTGCAGCTGCCCACTGCTCCTGGTGTGGTGTGGCAGAGCAGAGCTCAGTTTCTCCCCCTTCCTTTCAGGGAGCCTTTGACCAGCGCATGAAGACCTGGCAGCGGTGGCAGGACGCCCAGACCATGCTGCAGAAGAAGAGGGAGATGGAGGCCAGGCTGCTCTGGGCCAACAAACCCGACAAGCTGCAGCAGGCCAAGGATGAGATCTCAGAGGTAGGGGGTGAGGAGCTGTCGAGGTCTCTGCTCAGCAGATTTGCTCCGTGCTCCACCACTGAGCAGGGAGAAGGGGACCCTTTGGAGAAGGGGACCTCCTGAGCTGAAGGGACAGGTATCTACGGCCAGGCTGGCATCAAGGGATAAGCCAGCCTTGAGCAAGCCTCGCATGAAGCCGCAGAAGCTGTAGGAGAGGTTCCTCATGGTCCCACCTCCCATGGCTTCCTTGCCGAGCTTGCGGCAAGGCAGGCTTTGCTCGTGCCAACGGTCGTGGCTCCAAAATCGCTTATGGAGGGGGCAGTGAGAGGTTCCTCACCTCCCCTGCCCTGGAAACAGCGCGCTCCCTCTCTCCGCAGTGGGAGTCTCGCGTGACGCAGTATGAGAGGGACTTCGAACGCATTTCTGCCGTCATCCGCAAGGAAGTGATACGGTTTGAGGTGCGTTGGGCCCAGCCTTCAGTTCGGTGTGCCGCCCTCCACCTGGTTGGGTCTTGATGTGCCTTGGCCGGGAACGCCAGCCTGGGCTAGCCAAGAGTCATCTTGGCCACTAACCCCGCTCCCGGTCCAGCGGTCGGTGATATTTGTAAATCTGGACGCATGTTAGTTGGGACATCACTACTGTGGACAGAGCTGATGCTTTTTTGGCAAAGAGGGAGGGTGGAGTGGTTTTTTTTGGCAAAGAGGGAGAGTTTTTTGGCAAGGGGGGGTG